AAATTGAATTCTCAACCACGCACCTTCAAGATGGAAGAGAAATGGTTTACCAGCAGCATATGCAAATATAGCTAAATTTTCCTCAGCTATGTTGTATGAGTGCCAGAAAGGCTAATGCAATTCTAGGCACATTATCTATGCTTCCACAGAAGCATACAAAGAGGAAAAAAAAAAAAGGGAGGCAATAATTTCACTCTATTTTGAGGTGACACCTTGTGGGCAACCAGTTGATGAAGAGCCACAGGAGAGCGTCCCAGTGGTAATTTTAGAAATCTTGGCAAATCTAAAAAGAGGAATCTGGTTAGCCTCAGTGGTGGCAGGGAGAGGGTTGAGGGTGTCACGGAACCAACGTGAGTTTGCTCCTTGGTGAGTCGCAGGTAGACACTGCACCCAGGTAAGTTGTCCCACAAAGGAAACTTGACCTGCAACAGATAAGGAGATCACAGGGAATAACTTCCAAAGTCGTGACTCCCCAAGCAAGGGTGGATATGTTCCTTTTAGTTAGGGTTGGGGTGACTATTTAAAAAGCGGTCCTTGTCACCCTGTGTAGAGATGGGCATTGGGTTGCACATGTGCCTTAAGGAAACATGCCTATCCGTATGTTGTATGTTATGTAAATGAGGCTTGTGCTCCTCCTTGGGATAATGAGGTAAAGGTGGTTGTCGGTAGTTCTGGAGGCCACTCCATGGTCCTTCTGAGCAGACGCCAGTAGGGGGTTTAGCTCAAGCTGGTCTGGGTGGGCTGCGTGGGCTGCAGGTCTTGTCAGGGCACCTGCTATCCCCGGAGGGGTGGTTTCCACTTTCATGTGCCTGAGGTAAGAGGTAAGCTGGAAAGAAGAGCTTAAGGAAAAATAGGGGGCAAAAGTCGGTGCATACAAGCCGGTGGGCAGTGAAAGGTCAGGTCTTGGGGTCTAGCTGGTGACGAGGGCACTAGATAAACACTTACAGGCTGGTTATGTGGACCAGGTGGATTACACGGACACTGATGGCTCCAGCAGACAGAACCAGAAACGGTATGTAGAAGTTGCAAAAAGACAGGTTTGAGTTCAGGGTAAGGAAGAACTTTCCAGTAGAGTTGCCCCTCTAGGGGCATGGAGGAGTGAGGTTCTCAAGTCAGATATATATTCAAGAAGAGGCTGCATGGCCCCCTACTGAATAGTTCCTATTGGGTCAGCCTCGATGTGTCACTAAGGTGTCTTGTCACGCTGTGGCTGGGATTCCCTGGCCATGTGGTAAAATAGAGCCAACTGGCCTGAAAGAAGAGAAGTGCAGCGTAAGGTCTCCGAAGTGGGACACCCGTCAGTATCTTCCACTCTCCCCGGGGCCTGAGGACGAAGCAGGCAGCTGTCTGAGGTGCCAGAGGGAGCTGGCCTGAACAGCCAGTTGTGTTCCTCTGGTGTTCTTCAGGCTTGTTTAAATGCCTTCTGGGCTTTCTTTTTTTTACGATTTTAATTATTTATTTGAGAGAGAGCGAGCACAGAGGGGGAGTGAGAGGGAGAAGCAGACTCCCTGCTGAGCCGAGAGCCTGACTCAGGGCTCGATGCCAGGACCCTGAGATCAGAACCTGAGCCGAAGGCACACACTTAACCGACTGAGCCACCCAGGTGCCCTGGGCTTTCAGCTTTTCTGTTCCTGATATAGATCTATTGCTCTACCCCACTCCTGTCTACACACACACACATCATGCACTTCCCTAAAGCAGAAGGAAACGCATAGGAAATGTGTAAAAGAGCTGAGCTAGACTCCGAGCTGGGGCTTCCTCTGCCCTGTCCCAGGAGTAAATGAATCCATTTCACTTTCTTTTCTTTTATTTTTTTAAGATTTATTTATTTATTTGACAGAGAGTGGGAATGGGAGGGAGGGGCAGAGGGAGAAGGAGAGAGAATCTTAAGCAGACTCCGTGCTGAGCGCAGAGTCTGCCTGCTGCGGGGCTTGATCTCACGACCCTGAGATCACGACCTGAGCCAAAATCGAGAGTCGACCGCTTAAGCGACTGAGCCAGCCAGGCGCCCCCACCCTTCCCTTTCAAAGGTTAGGCTGGGTACCTAAAGTCGGACTGTGTGACTGGATTGATTTTTCTAGTAGAAATCGACTGTTCTGAGACAACTGTATGCATTTGCTTCTTGGTTTCTTTAAATGTTCTATGGTACGTACACATCCTGAATGGAGATAAGAATCTCAGGCACAAAGTTATTTTTGCAGTGAGGTGGAAGGAACATTAGGTATTTCAGCTAAACAACTCTGCAGCCCTGCGTAACGCCCAGAAGTGGTGTGATCTATTCGTGTTGCCTTTCCTGGGCTACTTGCTTTTTCCCCTTAGGTTTTTTTCCCTCCTATAAAACGGAGATCATAATAGCACCACTCCTTAGGGTTGTGAAAATGAAGTAAGTTAATACATGTAAAGAGCTTCCATCGGTACCAGGTGCATACAAAACAAGTATTAGTGTTATTATATACTGTTTCAGGAGTCCTTTCGACCTCCTCCAGTATTAGTAATTTGCCAGGACTCACACGTCCCAGAAAAGCTGTTATACTCAGTTATGGTTTGTTACAGCAGAAGAATACAGATTAAAATCAGCAAAGGAGAAAGGTGCATTGGGTGGAGGGCAGCTGCAGTTGTCCTGACGGAGCTGAATGCCCTCGGCAGTGTGTGACAACACACATCGGTGTGGCCGACCAGGGAAACTGCCCCCCGCCTTGGGGTCCAGGATTTCTGTTGGTGAGGAGGAGTCAGTCACACAGCATGCAGTCTTCAGCTCCTCCTTCCCCACCTGCCCCCACGAGAAGTCAAACTGTCATAGTGTGACCCCACGCCCGGACATACAAAAAAGGCGTTCACAATGAATCATGTTGCTGGCATAAACTATATGGCAGGGCCCAAAGTCTCAGGCACACAAAGACATTTTTTCAGGCGCGATACTCCAAGGGTTCAGAAAAGCCAGTCAAGGGGCATTTGGAATGTGGAAGGTTTGGGCAACTCAGACTCCCGAGGTAACATTTTATTGCACATTATATATAAATTTTGCTTATTTGAACAATCAAATTCAACCATTTTCCTAAGGCTTGAAATACTTTTTTTTAGTATGTGAATATTTATTGTTTATCACATGTATATCTCTTATAACCTTCTCTCTATGAGCTGGAAAATAATTTCAGTTTCAAGCCACGTTGTAAACCCAAAAAAGAAACTGTTATTATCCAATCGAGAGGACATATCAGAAACTAAAGATCACTACTATCATTGCAATAACAGTGATAATAGAATGCTCCACAAATTTTAACTAAAATTACATGCCAAATGCTTTATGAATATTATTAGTTTTAGGCCTTATCAACAACCGTGGGAGGGAGGTAATGGTTCTCTTTTACAGGTGAGAGAGTAAAGGTCCAGAGTTTTAAGAACTCCCTCGAGGTCCCTCAGCCAGTAAAGGGCAGAGTTTGCATTTACCGATCTGATTCCAAACCTCATGGTCTTAACATCATGCATGATAGTTTCCTATGACGTTGAGAAACAAAGCCTCTAAAAGTATTTTGAAACATTAAAAAAAATCCAACAAGATTTATTTGATTTGATCTCACGATCCACAGAATGTTTAGACACCGGGGCAGAATTGTGGCTAGAACATGTGTTGCTTTTACCAACAGAAGAGATCTTGGCAAAGAAGTTTCTAAGATGCCTCTCTCCACAAATATGTGATGTAGAAGGCAAAAAAGCAAGGAAAAGAGAGATACCAAAAGGAGGAAAATTATATAGTTATTCTGAGTGTTTTGATTAATAAGGGGAACATAAAATCTGAATGTTCTCCAAGATTCCAAAATTGTTGCCACCATGAATTGTCTGTAATTGTATCTTTCTCCTTCCCCTATTATTAGATCTCAGTCTGTGGTAGAAGCTGGGACCCTGAAACATGAGGAGAAGGGAGAGAATGAGAACACTCAGCCACTCCTGGCTCTGGACTGAACCCCGAGTCACCCCATGCTCTCGCAGATCGCCAGCCTTCAGTGGTATCAGCCACGCAGGAAGCACATGAGCAACTGACCCACACAGACACGTGCGTTCCGCTTGACCTAAGGCCCTCCACTTCTGCCATCTAGTAATAACTGTCACCAGCCATTGGTCTGAGCAGCCAAAGTTTGAACAAGGACTTGAGAGATGCTTTTTGTTTTTTTTTTTTCAGTGAGGGGACTGGAGATGAAGCAAGGCAGTCATGTAAACATGATTCTTCCTCCCCCATATTTATGGTATTAAATAAATTGAAAAAAATAAAAACTAAATTTGATGCACACACTGCATTAGTACCAGGATTTTTCTGAGGTACCGCAGAGACCCTTTCCAGGTTTTGTGACTTAAGATTAAGTGCATTTCCAAAAAAAAAAAAAAAAAAGATTAAGTGCATTTCCAAGTAGATACATGAGAATGAAACTGTGCAGACCCAATTGTCAAGCTCAAATGCAGTGCAAAGCCCCAAGACAGTAGTATCTCCAGGAATTTCCATTCTTACTGAATTATTTTCTTTGACCTCATCACCAGCATTGAATTGTTCAGCCCAAGGGCATGTTCTTATAGGTCTGGCTCTTTGCAGAGTTTGCTTATTTTGAGATCCTGCAAGAATGATTTTGACGTCACATCTTTTGTCAGGCTACCAGCTGATTACCATGATCGGACTTTAAACGAAGACACACACAACTTGAAATATGATTATTTCATCTTAATAATGTGACTTCCCACAGGCAACATGAGATTGCGGAGGGGGGGGCGGGGCCTCATTGAAAACACTTGTCAGTGATTAATGGCTCCATTCAAATTGCCTCACTTGGGTCACTACAGGCAAGAAAAGTGCTACAAAAGCATTTAACTCCCCCACCCTCCCGCAACCAGCTAAAGGTGTGGAGAAGGGAGCTGGCTGTTGCTGAGAGGGTAGGTACCAATCATGGAGGAAGACCCTTAACGATGGCTAAATATGCAAGTACTGACAATAAGAGAAGATTAGGAATGTGGGATAAAATGCCAAAGATCATTTTATTTCTTTGTCTATTCTCCTTAGAAATGGAGAGTCCCCAACTATCCATTCAAAGGAAATTAAATAAATGATAACACAGGATAAGATATCCTGAGTTGTGCCACGTTTCCCAAAACGAGTTGTGTGTTTTAAGGCATCTCTTATCTTCCCAGCCATCCACATGACATGGGCATTTATCAGTAGGACCAGTTGGTGCTCAATGTCAAATAAAAAATATTTTAGTTGATAATGGGCAGAAAAATATGATTGTATGTTTTCAGGATTTGGGAGGGTTAGCTACAAAGTTCAGAGAAAAGAGGTGATTCGACTGGCCATAATCACCTCAGTAGATATTATTACTAATCTTAACCATTTATTACATCTCTTTCTCAATGAATCTAGTGTTTTAATTTTTTTTCTACTGGCAGAGGAGAATAAGAGAAGTAATTTTTGTATTCCACCCTTGAAATAAAATTGAAATAGAATTAAAAATATTTCTCAACCGATTGTATCATGGTATAAATAAAACCCATTTTGTGTAGACATTTCAAATAACAAAATAGTAACATTGAGATAATTCTACCCATGCAGTGACTGAAACACTTTTCTTATATTCCATGACATAGGGAAGAGAGATAAAGAATTAAAGTGAATTAGAAAATCCATTTTATGACTTGGGTTTATAAAATAGTTGTGGGATCCAAGTATTTAAAATGCTATTGGAGTCGATTATTGCCAACACTTTGCAACAGTAATAATTCTGGCTTTTCAATTGGCAATATTTAGAATCCTACTGTAGTGACCTGATTTTAAATACCATATTATAATTATTAAGTTAAGAGCTAGTTTTTACTCTATGCCATGATTTCATTAAATGAATGTAAGATGATGGTTTAACATTGACAACTTATACTTTAAATTTCTTTATGTGTATGCAATATACATCCAAGAACCAAATTCAGTAAGTGACATGAATGTTATTACATGAGCAATGGATTGTATTGTCCTCTGTCAGTCATTTCTTCTGTTCAATAAATACTGAAGGACACAACACCTTTTGATTTTTCAAGAGCTTGCTTTTTCTTCTGGGCTTTGGTAATTAATTTGGAGACTTTCCTCACATGCTTCTTCATCTATATTAGTGGGATTGTTTTTGGCAAAACAAAAGGGAACAGGACCAATATTTTGCAAACCCTTCTAACTGGAAGCTAATGTCAAGCAAAAAGGGTACCTTTCAATGGTAAAGAACTCTTTTTAAAAGAGATAAAGAAAGCATCCTCCTTTGTCCTTAGATGGAAAGGAAGCACAAGTGTTTTTTTCTACCCCTGAATGAAATCTGGTAACCTCGGTGTCATTTCTTCAGAATTTTTGTTCATATTGGCTTAAAATTCAGGTGCAGGAATAGCCTTACATTCATATAGCTAACATTTCTAGTTTGATTGGAAACATGCAATATTTAATACATTAATGCCCTTCTAAATTAATAATTTGATTGTCTTTGGAATAAGTAGGCAAGGCCATTTTTTCAACTGTTATTTCTATGCTGTGGATATTATTAAAGCTAAACTATGGATAACAACTGCTACTTCTAAGCTATATTTAAATGGCAGAAGTTTCTCAAGCCAAGGAAATGGAAGAGTCTTCCAAACTCTTTCAAAGAAGAAGGCAATCCTAAACCCAGCACTAAGATCCTGGGATTCTTGGTCTTCTGCTCTGCCATCTTTTATATTTTTACAAAGCTGTGATGGGGATCCATGTAAGGACCTCCTCGCTCACAGGGATCTACAATAGGCAAAGAGACTCTGGATTCCAGCCCTGTCTCAGATGCCAAAGAGGCCAAGGAGCCAGATGTCCTAGCAGCTACCTATCTACCTGACCCTGAGAGAAAATTTTTACTTTGAGAAATGTTACTTTTTTTTTTTCACGTTCTAATTCTTGGCATTAAAAAAAATTATAGGTGGCACTTTTATGACTCAAGATAAAATGACTCCATGTCCTGTTTCAGGATGAAAAGCTCCTCTTGGAAAGACAGCATCTCTACCATGTGCATGGCGAGGAGACACATTAAGACAATGGCTTTCAATGAAGATAAGAAAGCAAACAGTCTCAGTGGGTGGGAAGCAATACGGTTCACAGACATCAGCATAATTACATCTTTCTCCTTTGGATCAGGAAAATAAAATTGCTTCTTTATGAGTGTCTTTTACTAAAAATAATTAAAAGAGGGAAGTCTGAGTTCATGGGGGAAGTCACCATTAAGCAGCTAGAAGTAAAGCATTTACACAGCTTACTATTAAACTCAAGAAAAAAGTAGTGGTACATGATGAAAAACATGGCCTAGCTACCCTAGAAAAATATAATTGCATAGAAAAATTACTAAAGTGATCCATTCACAGTTTCTACATATATTCTCATTGTACACTGATTCAGGCCTCTTCTAAGTGGGAAAAATATCTTTGGCTGACAAGGCAGAAGCTCTCATGTCTTCACTGGAAATACGGCATCGGATGGGTGCTGTCGTGGGATGAAGGACAGCAGGGCGCTTTCTACGTGAATTACAGCAAGGCAAAATATTCCATTTAGTGTCTTCTAACCCTAGGAGGAGCCTTAGAATTTTGGGAGCTGCCCGTCAAGGGAATGAAGGGCCTTCAGACTCGGAACCTCTACCCCTACACCCAAGGAGACAGAGCCAGCAAGGCAGCCTCTCTCCAGTGTGTCCCAAGCCTGCACGACATGCTAAATCGCCGGAAGGCTCTGTCTCTGCTGGGGTGTCAGCTCTGGGTGCCACACATCCACAATGAAGATCAGCCGGAAAGTCGCGGCGTCCTGCCACACCTCGTGCTCAAAAGAGTCGTCAAAGATGAGCACCTTGCCTTCTTCCCATGTCCTGGAACAGAAAAACATGGATTCAGATGCCTGAGAACCAATCCCTGGCTACGTGCAGAGATGGGCACTTTCACGGTAACCTTTGGGATCTGGCCAGAAAATTGGAACACGAAGCCGAGATGGATTCTTCCCTTGGTGATTAAGAAAGAATTTCGGGATTTTTACCATGAACACAGTTTTCGATGCTCAGCCCTAAGAGTGTGCAAAGGGCAGACTGACCTTATCACAGGCCCTGCAATTATTCTTGGCCCAAGCCTAGGTGAGGCTTGTTGAGGCAGGCAAGCAGGCAAAGGTGTGCCCCGGCGGCTCATGCCCACGGTGACTTCCCGGTCAGTGACTGCATGCTATCCTGCCTGGCCTTTCAGAGACTGGTCTAGACCTGTGGGTAGCACACTTGGGCTCAGGCCTCCCAGTGCCCGGGGGGCTACTTAGCACGGGGCCATCGCATCTCCAAGTGATTTTTCTCAACCCCTTCCATTTGTTGAAGTTCCATTTTATGGAAGAAAGTTCCATTTAATGGAAGGGCAGATTGGGAATGAATTTTGTTTGTATTTTTAATGTCATCTGCAGTGCAAGTGGGTTATCCTTGGAATATTTTAAGTCAATGCTGCGAAACATCCTTTAGGGTCTCCAGCATTACTTCATAAAATATGTGTATAGGAGCTAAGACCTAAACAAGTGCTTGTCTAAATAAAGCAATCAAGAGAGAAATGCGCAGGGGCAATTACACAATGCCTTTCAAATTCAAAGAAAGTTTATTGCTCATGTTAATGTTCTCCTCTTGTTAAAATAGGCATTAATTGCCAATATATTGCATGCTGAGTTCTGTTTTTTAAGATGGAATTTTTACTAGGAAATTTTCTTTAGATATTAAAATTCCACTCAGGCATTTGAAATTTTATGTCACAGATTAGCAAATAATTAAAATTATAGGATAGAAAATGTTAGCTTGATTTCAAGTTACTGCATTCTCATAAGGAAGTTTGCCTTAAGAAAAATTATTTGTGTCTTTTTATGCTCATTACTAGGTGATTAATCAGTAGTAAATTAGGTAATATTTCCTACTGCAGGGTTTCTCAACCTTGGCACTAGTGACATTTGGGGCCAGATAATTTGCTGTTGGGGGTCGTCCTGTGCTCTGTGTATGCTTGGCAGTAATCTCTGGCCTAGAATCTCTAGCCACTAGAAGCCAGTAACACGCACTCTCCACCAGTCATGAGAACCAAACCTGTCTCCAGTCATTGCCAAATGGTGGGGCGGTGATGAGGGGTGAGAGGCAAATTCATCTCAGACATACTGCATTAATCTGACAACAACATTTCTAAGTTATTTAAAGTAAACAATAAAGTAATGAATATTTGCAAGTTAAAAGTTCCTTGGAATTGAGCATCAACCTCCACTTCAGCTCCCCACCCCCACCCTCCTGCCCCACTTTATGCGCTATCTCACACCCCTAGCCTAATACCTTGCATTCAATAAACATGGGCTGCTCTTCTGTATGATTCCTCCTAAGAATCAAAGAGTTCTACTGGAGTTCCAACCAAGTGTAAACCAACAACAGAAATATAGAGACACAGGAACAAATGACAAATTAAAAAATATGTATTATTACCATGCAAAAAGCAACCTTGAAAAGAAAGGCAACATTAAGAAGAGAAAAAAAAAATGACAAGAAAAAAGAAGTGAAATGATCCACAGCTTATACAGTTTAGTGGTGATTTTCTAGGTCTTAGTGTTACTGGTGGGACTGTGCAATGTCTATGGGTACCCCAGACAAGCCTAAATATAGGCAAAAGGTAAGGGGGGTGCTCTCAAGAGGGAAAGGCAGGACCCCCGTGTGCACAGGAGCAATACCCACAAGAGCCGAAGGTGGAAGCGACCCAAGGGTCTACTGATGAACGAACGGGTAAGCAAAATGTGGGGTATGCGCACAATGGGGTATTCTTCAGGCTTACATAAAAAGGAGATCCAGAGAATGCCACAGCATAGACATTGTGACATTTTGTTATGTGAAATAAAGCCCTCATACAAGAACAAATATTGTGTGATTCCACTTACAGGCGGTACCCAGGGCAGTCTAATGCACACAGACAGCAAGAACGATGGCGAGTTGTGGTTTAGTGTGTACGGGCCTTCAGTAAGATGAAGAGTCCCGTGAAAGGGTGGACACTGGCAACAGCAGCACGACGGGATCGTACGTAACACCACTGAACTGTATGTACATTTAGAAACAGGATGGTAAACTTTATGTTCTGTGTGTTTCACCACAATTGAAAAGGGGAAAAAAAAGGGAAAGGGAAAGGGGAGCATATGGTCGAAGAGAAAGGGGGAGAGAAACAGCAGAGGGCAATGGAAAAGTTATAGCCCTGAGGGGAAGCAGATTTGAACCTCTTGGCTCTGCCCTTTATTACTATGTGACCTGGGGTGAGTTGCTCGGCATCCATGAGCCTTTGTGTCTTTTTTTGTTTTTTTAAGATTTTTATTTATTTATTTGACAGAGAGAGACAGCAAGAGAGGCAACACAAGCAGGGGGAGTGGGAGAGAGAGAGAGAAGCAGGCTCCCCGCCGAGCAGGGAGCCCGATGCGGGGCTCGATCCCAGTACCCTGGGATCAGGACCTGAGCCGAAGGCAGACCAGACGCTTAACGACTGAGCCACCCAGGCGCCCCCAAGAGCCTTTGTGTCTTTATCAGCATAGCTGATGTGAGGATTAGCATATGATGGGCGCATAGTAGATATTCAATTAACAGTAGAGAACATAAAACAGAGGAGGAAGGAAAACACAGGAATAAATAGGGAAAAGATAAAAGAGGTGATAATGTATGGACATGGTATAATGCTACCAAAAATAATCTTGGCTTCATGCCCTATGGATTTGCCTTCATTTGAGAAAACTGAAAATCTTGCAAGGGGATGAAATATCAAAAATCTTTCAGAGAATCTGCAATATACACTTGTGCTACAATGACAAGTGGTTCTCAATGTTTTCCGAGTGGCAGAGAATCCAGAATCTACTTAAAATACTGGAAGTAAATCAAAGACCCAAAGAGAAAATTCTAGGTTGTGCAAAATTGTATTTTTCACTAGATTTTGATGGGTATAAGAAAGCCAAATGCCCTGATGAAACAACTTTTTTTTAAGATTTTATATAATTATGAGAAAGAGAGAGAGAGAGAGAATAGGGGGAGGAGCAGAGGGAGAGGGACAAGCGGACTCTGCGCTGAGCAGGGAGCATGCCGCGGGGCTCAATTTCAGGACCCCGAGATCATGACCTGAGCTGAGACGAAGAGTCGGATGCCTAACCAACTGAGCCACCCAGGTGCCCCAAAACAATTTTTTTAAAATAAAAAATGTAGGAGGTATTCCAAAGAGTTGGATTCCTTTAGGGCCATCAAACTCATGGGGAAGTGTGGCCCATTATCTTCTATTTGCCCTTCCATTTTCTTTCATACATTTTCCCAGAAAACAGCAAAGATACCTAATCATTTAATGTAGATTCCTTGTGAATACTTCAAAACTGGTGTCTTTCAATCACTTACGAGAGCTAAAGTGACAAAAAGTGCAGTCCTCATTAGCCTTAAAGCGAAGAACAATAAAACCCCATCCAAGCAACGTGCAGGGCTGAGTGACAGGGGTTAAGTAGAGATAGACGGCTTGCATGGGCAAGAATGAGGTTTTCCACAAAAAAGAAAAAAAAAACAGAGCTAAAGAGGTCAAAGGTCTTTAGGTGTCTTCCAAATCACAAAGATTCATCCTTGCAAGGCCAAGAAACAGTTTTCAGGCCACTTGCTTTGTGAGCAAAGCTCCACCACATATGATTAAGTTACACTCAAAGTATGACGAGAAAAGTGCCCTCTGGAGAAAAGATTTTTCAGAGTTGCCTTTGAGCTTCCTGATGGCGCCCCCACAGCCTTTCTCTGAGGATTCAGAAAACCAGGACCGGAGAAGGGATGTTGCACCTTCTCCCCGGAGGACGAGCTCCTCTGGCCTTTAGAGTTTCTTACCATTATGAGAAGAATGCCTCTACCTGGTTTGCAAAAGATACAAGAATATCTGGCCGAAGATAAAGCGACATCATGTGATTTCTCAATTTCTTTTTTTTTTTTTTTAAAGATTTTATTTATTTATTTGCGAGAGAGAATGAGAGAGAGAGCATGAGAGGGGGGAGGGTCAGAGGGAGAAGCAGACCCCCTGCCGAGCAGGGAGCCCGATGCGGGACTTGATCCCGGGACTCCAGGGTCATGACCTGAGCCGAAGGCAGTCGCTTAACCAACTGAGCCACCCAGGCGCCCTGATTTCTCAATTTCTTTTTTTTTTTTTTTAAAGATTTTATTTATTTATTTGAGAGAGAGAATGAGAGAGAGAGAGCATGAGAGGGGGGAGGGTCAGAGGGAGAAGCAGACCCCCCGCTGAGCAGGGAGCCCGATGCGGGACTTGATCCCGGGACTCCAGGGTCATGACCTGAGCCGAAGGCAGTCGCTTAACCAACTGAGCCACCCAGGCGCCCTGATTTCTCAATTTCTTAAGTTGTAATTAATGATCCAGATATAATGGGGGTGGTACATACTTGACAACCAGAACTGTGTCGCCGAATTACCATCAACATTAGTCATGCTACTAGGGGCTTACGGAGTCTTCCACCTACAAACTTTATTGATCCTATCTCAGGGATCTTCACTAAAATGTTCCGAGGTAGGCAAGAGATGTGGTTCTAACTGTCCAGCAAAGGAGTCATATGGAAGCAAGTTCGGATGTCTGCAGTGATACGTGATTCTGTGATTCTGTCGCTAGCTGTGCTTCATCAGAGTCCAAACTTTGGCTCAAGGTCACGGGACTAGCGGATAGTCTGAGTGCTGGCTGGCTGCCCTGGTGAGGCGGCCTGTGACGCACTGAGCAGGCTGAGTGGGATTCAAAAAAGGCTCAAAGAGCTCAGGAAGGAGACTGCTTAACACAGTGCTTATTAATTCTGACCTACTGAAATCTCTCAGTTGTGACTGCATTA